TGTTTGAGTGTGGTAGTCCATAGACGGCACCAGCTGCTATAGATTTCTTAAGTGTTCTTGATGTGAATTTAGCTATTATATATTCACTGTTTTCGTCCGTACATTAGTTGATTTCACACATTCTAGTTCATCAGAGTAATAGATGGCAGTGCCTCCTCCTGATTGGTCGGGCCTACAGTTATGTATGGCTGTGTAACCTTGTATGGTAAATATGTCTGTCAGATCTTGTCTGAGCCAGGTTTCAGTAAGTATAACGAAAATTATAGTAGCATTTAGAGACTTAAGTAGTGCAATGAGGTCATCATAGTGTTTACTCAGTGATCTAACATTGTAGTTGAAGACTGCAATGTTCTTGCTGACACTGAGAAGGGTATTAGCCTGACTAGCAGTGTAGTAATGGCAATTACTGTTCAGACTATGTGTGCTGTTCAATAAGAGGTTGATATCAGGATTGATGCTATTTCTTACAGAGGTGTGAAGCATTGGTTGTAAATGCTGCAGTGAGGAGATGCTGGAAGCATTGGAGATGTTGTGTCTAAGGGCAATGTGCTGTGTAAATATTATGCAGAGAACTCGTAGAGTGGAAATTAGGAGGAGGTGTGGAGTTACTAAAAGTATTAGTCAGAGGGCTGAAGAGGGGCTGTTGAGGTGGTTTGGTCATTTAGAGAGAATGGAACAAAATAGAATGACTTAGAGAGTGTATCAATCTGTTGGGGAAGGAAGGTGAGGTAGGCGTTGTCCCCAAAAAAAGGTTGGAGGGAGGGGGTAAAGGAGGTTTTGTTGGCGAGAGGCTTGGACTTCTAGCAAGCGTGCGTGAGCATGTTAGATAGGAGTGAATGGAGATGAATGGGTTTTTGGGATATGACGAACTGTTGGAGTGTAAGCAGGGTAATATTTTGTGAAGGGATTCAGGGAAACCAGTTAGCCGGACTTGAGTCCTGGAAATTGGAAGTTCGCTGCTTGCGCTTTAACCCTTTGAGGGTCGACAGGCCCTCTCCGAAACTCGTTCTCAGGGTCGGCCAAATTTAAAACAAAAAAAAAATTATTTTCTCTTATGAAAAGATAGAGAATCTTTTCCCGATCATAAAGACACCAAAAGTTTGAAATTTGATAGAAAACTTACGGAATTATGCTCTCGCAAAGTTAGCGGTCTCGGCGATGTTTACGCATCGGCGATTTTGCCCACTTTGAGCCCCATTTTCGGCCAATTTCACTGTACTAGTCGACAAAAAACATGAATATTTCGCTAGAACTCCATTTTTTCTATCGAATGGATGCAAGAAACCACTCATTTATGAAATTCAACTATCCAGTACAGTGGTCAGAATTTAGCAATTTTGCCAATTTCACACAAATTTCAAAAGATGCCAATTTCGGAATAGGGTCCAGAATAAACAAGAAAGACATTCGTGGCACTAAAATGACATTTCCTCTAGTCATTAGTCATGTCTCAAGTCCCCTCTTATATTCTTTTGCTTTCCACTTTGAATTTTTATTTTCACAAAAAATATAAGATTTACTGTTATGCAGACTACTGCATTAGTGTAAAAAATGGTATAAATATTATTGGTGCACTTGTGAAAGAATATTAGACTCACCAGTTGACGTGTATTGCACGCTTGGCACGATTTGTTTACTTTTGAAGTTTGGTAAAAATCGAACATTTCTGCTACTTTGAGCTCAATTTCAAGGCACCTTTCTTTGTAAAACCAGTCAAAATCATCTCAATTTCTGTAATATGTCTTCCATTCTATAAAATGAGACCAAGAAAACTAGAATACAACAATAAATACCATACGAAAATACACTGCAAAGTCGCTGATTTATTAAAAAAAAATGGTCAAAGTTTTTTTTTTCTCATTATGCACTGTGTGCTGCAGGATTTTTTTTAGACTGTGCACACTGACCACATAGACCCATTCTTTCATATGAAGGCCTACCAGCTTACTCCCACTAGATTTGAGGCCGCTAGAATTTATGAGTACTAGTACGTCAAAAACCCCTACGAGTAAAACGTACTAGTACGACGAAAACCCTCAAAGGGTTAAAGGAGGAGTTTAGGATAATGGTAGTTTGGAGGGACATCTAAACTGTCATATCTAAGCACCTCTGCAAAGATAGTGATTATGTATGAGTAATGGTGAAAGTGTTGAATGATGAAAGTTTTTTTTTTTTTTTTTTTAGGTTTTTCTTTCTTTTTGGGTCACCCTACCTTGGTGGAAAATGGCTGACATGTTAAAAAAAATATTTAAGTTATTTTTATCTGTTGGGTTCATATTTGTTTGGTAAAAATTGGTCAAGAATTGTAGATGTAAAAAATTTCCTTATTTTTTTGGGTGGTGTTTGTATTACCTGGAGTTTACCTGGAGAGAGTTCTGGGGGTCAATGCCCCCATGACCTGGTCTGTGACCAGGCCTCATGGTGGATCAGAGCCTGATCAACTAGGCTGTTACTGCTGGTTGCACGCAGTCCAACGTATGAGCCATAGCCCGGCTGGTCAGGTACCAACTTTAGGTGCTTGTCTAGTGCCTGCTTGTAGACAGCCAGGGGTCTATTGGTAATCCCCCTTATGTCTGCTGGGAGGCAGTTAAACAGTCTCGGGCCCCTGACACTTATTGTATTGTCTCTTAATGTGCTAGTGACACCCCTGCTTTTCATTGGGGGGATGTTGCATTGTCTGCCGAGTCTTTTGCTTTAGTTGAGTGATATTCGTGTGCAAGTTCGGTACTAGTCCCTCTAGGATTTTCCAGGTGTATATAATCATGTATCTCTCCCACCTGCGTTCCAGGGAGTACAGGTTCAGGAACATCAAGCACTCCCAAGCACTCACAATTGTTGTTTAACATACTTATAGATGGTGTTGTAAAAGAAGTAAATGCTATGGGACAAAATTATGGGGAATCAAATACAAAATGGGAGTTGACATAGTTACTTTCTGCTGATGATACTGTGCTTTTGGAAGATTCTAAAGAAAAGTTGCAAAGGTTAGTGGACAAGTTTGGGAGGGTGTGTAAAGGAAGAAAGTTGAAAGTGAACATAGATAAGAGTAAGGTGATGAGGGTATCAAATGATTTAGATAAAGAAAAATTGGATATCCCATTGGAGGGAAGGAGCATGGAAGAAATGAATGTGTTCAGATATTTGGGAGTTGACTTGTCAGCAGATGGATCTATGAAGATGAATGGTTCAGAGAACCGACATGTTGATAAATTAGACACATGTGCAACTCTTGGGTATCTTTATTGAGGAAACGTTTTGCCACACAGTGGCGTCATCAGTCCATACAAAGGAGAATCATGAAGAACAGGAGGAGAATGAGGTAATCAGTCCCTCAACCTTGAGTCAATGTGGTCAGTCCATTAATCTTGAATAGAATACAGCATGTGTGGAGAAGTAGCTTATGTACCATAGACAGGAGAGATGCAGCAGTCGTTGGTGGTGTCACATTTGTCCAATGTGGAAGTAGGCCTTGCCCAAGGGTTAGACAAGTGAAGAATTCCCAAGTATTAAGATCCCAAGAAGTTGCAGTGTCTGACAGGATTGTAGATGAATGGTTCAGAGAACTGACACGTTTATAAATTAGACACATGTGCTTGCCTAACCCTTGGGCATGACCTACTTACACATTGGACAAATGTGACACCACCTACGACTGCTGCACCTCTACTGTCTATGGTATATAAGCTACTTCTCCACACATATGCTGTATTCTATTCAAGATTGATGGACTGACCACATCGACTCAAAGTTGAGGGACTGATTACCTCATTCTCATCCTGTTCTTCACGATTCTCCTGATGAAGCCACTGTGTGGCGAAACCTTTCCTCAGTAAAGATTCCCAAGAGATGCACATGTGTCTAATTTATCAATGGATCTATGAAGGATGAGGTTGACCATAGAATTGATAAAGGAAAAAAGGTGAGTGGTGCTTTCAGTTATCTTTGGAGGCGAAAAACGTTATCCATGGAGACAGAGAAGGGAATGTACGAGAGTATAGTGGTACCAACACTCTTACCTGGGTGTTATGCATGGGTTGTAAATGCTGCAGCAAGGAGGAAGCTGGAGTCAGTGGAGATGTTATGTCTAAGGGCAATGTGTGATGTAAATATTATGCAGAGAATTCATAGTGTTGAAATTAGAAGGAGGTGTGGAGTTACACAAAGTATTATTTAGGGGGCTGAAGTGAGGTTATTGAGGTGGTTTGGTCATTTAGAGAGGACTGAGCAAAATAAAATGACTTGGGGTTGTCCTAGGAAAGGATGGAGGGAGGGGGTAAGAGTGGTTTGTGTGCAAGGTGCCTGGACACACAGCAGGCATGTGTGAGCATGTTAGGAGTGAATGGAGATGAATGGTTTTTTGGACCTGATGAGCTGTTGGAGTGTGAGCAGGGTAATATTTTGTGATGGGATTCAAGGAAGGAAACCAATTAGCCAGACTTGAGTTCTGGAGGTGGGAAGTATAATACCTGCACTTTAAAGGAGGGGTTTGGGATATTGGCTGTTTGGAGTGACATCTAAACTGTCATATCTGGGCACCTCTTCAAAGACAGTGATTATGTGCAAATGATAGTGAAGGTGTTGAATGATGGTGTAAGTGTTTATTTTTTTGGGTCACCCTGCCTCAGTGGGAGATGTCCGACATGTTGACAAAAAAATAATGTTTGTAATGGTGTGTGGGTGAGGCACCATCTCATCTTACACAGACTTCCTCCTTCCTGTCTTCATATTGGATGTCATTGTAAGGAGTAGGACAGTGCCTCACCTTTCCTCTCCAACACTCCTCTTCCCTTTCCAGTACCTCTCCTTTCCAACCCCTCTTCCTTCACCCTACTCACCCACTTAACCCTACTCCACTTCCATCCTCATTTATGTCATAAGTCTTGGACCCTCTGTACTGTACTGTCTTTATTCTGTACTGTATTCTATTGAGATTGATCTTCATTTCTCTACTGTATCACCAGGCATGTAATAATAGTATCAGCAATAATGTAACACTGCAGTATGTTGGTACAGGTAAAGCATGAAGTGGTGACCACACTGAGTGGATGGGTATTTGCTGGGTTAGGTGGACAAACACGTGTCTTCTCTTCATTCACCCTGGACCCACTTGCTCACGAGTGGGACAAACTGATAAGCCACTGGTTGGAAGAGCTTCTTGTGACATCGTATTCATCACTCCTCCAATCAGATGTGAGTCTGCTGTTATGTTAATGTGATTTTTCTTCTATTATTGGTACATAATATCATCTTTTTTTATGTTTGGTATTCGGTGCTTAATTTTATGTAGGAATTCTATTTTGTTTTATTATTGTTATAGTTATCCACTTAGATTATTTGATATCCTCATGAAAATGAGACATTTGAAGTTGCCAATTTCTTTAGGTATTCCTTTAAAGATACATTCTGACTCATAGTATTTTTTGTATTCTTCCATTGCTGGTTTTCATGCAGAAGCATTTCATTTAGGGGTCCATATTTTTCTCTTCTCCACGTCTGAATTCTGTTTTTATATTTTGACTTGAAACTTTCACCAGTTAAATGTTTTTTTTTTTTTTAAACTGGTAATTGGTAAAATAACCAGACACTTTTGCCCCTATTGGCTATATTTAGAACTATTTTCATTGTCCTTTGTCTCAGGCTACTGTAGCAATAGCTAATACCATATAGTACTTATATTTATCTATACACTGTGTTGTGCAAAAATTTTTTATTTGTCATTTTTATGTTATAGCTCAAATTTTTTTGTGATACAGTGTACTATATTTCCCCATTCAACTTGTATTTCAGCACTTTAATTTCACCTTGTAGTATTTTCCTAAAAGATTCAAGATTCAGAATGTTTCTGCTTATGATTTTTACATTAGAAAAATGTGTATATAATTTTTCTGCTGATTCCACTACTTTATAATGAAGTATCATAAAGTTTTTTCTATACACAAATAACCGGCACATAGGAGAAACAAACTTATGACAACGTTTCAGTCCGATTTGGACCATTAACTACCCTATTCTTTCTCAATCTCAAAATATAAATAACTGAACTCACTTTTAAAACTGCACTCTTTATATTTTGCAATAGAATAAATCTTCCTTCAGTTTTATGAATTGGTCACCACAATGTGTAACAGAATTCGAGGATTCTTCTACCCTCACAGCCCACCATGAGGCCACACCTTTTTTTTTTGACTATTATACTTGTCCTATAATATGTACTTTATTAACCATGTTATTGATTCTGTATTACTGATTAAATTCCATTAATATATTGTTTAACAACTTTATTAGGTGGATGTGACAAATGGTTGGGCAGAAATTGATGAATGTGGTTGGTCGTGGAGCCTATTGGGGACGCCTTTAAGACTGTCACAGCAACAAGGTGGACTGTTAAGTTTAGGAGCCTCCTCACATGTTGATCTCCTCAGTATCCTTACCAACCTTAGAGCATCTACCCTCAATATAGCTCTTAAACCCAGGTAAATATGGAGCAGTTTATGCAGTACTAGGTGTAAATCTTAATTTCTAAACTAAATTTTATTTTCTGCAGTATTGTACAAATGAGTGCTAGGCTTGTGCAAAAATTCTTTGATTGGTACCTCATAGGCCACTACAACTTATTTTGGTAAGGTGGCTAGAAAAGAAACTTACACTGATATTAGTTAGGATAACATTGTATGTATCATCCTGTTAACTGTCCAAACGTAGATCTATGTTCTTACCGCTAGTGCTCCGAATGTAGCTCTACATTTTATTTTTCCTGGCTTCAAATTTGGCCTAGACACGAGAGAATGGGTCTGTGCACTCAGTGTTTACCTGGAGAGAGTTCCGGGGGTCAACGTCCCTGTGGCTCGGTCTGTGACCAGGCCTCATGGTGGATCAGGGCCTGATCAACCAGGCTGTTACTGCTGGCTGCACGCAATCAAATGTACGAACCACAGCCTGGCTGGTCAGGTACCGACTTTAGGTGCTTGTCCAGTGCCTACTTGGAGACAACCAGGGGTCTGTTGGTAATCCCCCTTATGTATGCTGGGAGGCAGTTGAACAGTCTTGGGCCCCTGACACTTATTGTGGTGTCTCTTAACATGCTAGTGGCACCCCTGCTTTTCACTGGGGGGATGTTGCATTGTCTACTGAGTCTTTTGCTTATGTAGGGAGTGATTTTCATGTGCAAGTTTGGTACTAGTCCCCAGAGGTGTCGTAAGGGGGGGGCGGGGGGGGGGGCCACCCCGGGTGACACCATTTAGGGGGTGACACCATAGAGCCTCTAAAGAAGGTGACACTAATGCACAAAACAGTGCTGCACGAACATAAAAGAAGAATCCTTCGTTTCTATATAGCCTATTATGTATTAACAAAGTACAAATTAGCCTATATAGGGAAAATCATTGATTTTGATGATGTGACAGAGGATTTTGCATAATTGAAGGCAAGTAAATGTAAGACCAGATTCACTGAGATGTTACCTGTACTCAGGGTCAAATGGAACAAATGTTTCTTTGATATTGCAATGTTTTTCTTTATTTTTCAAGTTATTTTTTTGTTATTGCATTGTTGAAGTTGAATAAATGTAGGATCTGTTGCCTGTACTCAAAGTGGTATTTGAGTTTGTTTCCTCATTATTACTACGATTATTTATTTTATCATTAATAAAATTGAGAAGTATTCTCCTGTTTGGTTTATGGCTCTTAAATGTTCTCATTGCTAAACATTAGTCACTGACTGGGCATGCAGTAGTGACATAACTGGAGTTTACCCCCCATCCCCCCACCCTTGAATTTCATGGGGGTGACACCAAAGATGCTGCCCCGGGTGACACCAGAAATTCCGCCCCGGGTGACACCGGAAATTCCGCCCCGGGTGACACCAACCCTAGCAACGCCTCTGCTAGTCCCTCTAGGATTTTCCAGGTGTACATAATCATGTATCTCTCCCGCCTGCATTCCAGGGAGTACAGATTCAGGAACTTCAAGCGTTCCCAGTAATTGAGGTGTTTTATCTCAGTTATGCGTGCCGTGAAGGTTCTCTACATTTTCTAGGTCAGCAATTTCACCTCCCTTGAAAGGTGCTGTTAGTGTGCAGCAATATTCTAGCCTAGATAGAACAAGCGACCTGAAGAATGTCATCATGGGCTTGGCATCCCTAGTTTTGAAGGTTCTCATTATCCATCCTATCATTTTTCTAGCAGATGTGATTGATACAATGTTATGGTCCATGAAGGTGAGATCCTCCGACATGATCACTCCCAGGTCTTTGATGTTAATTTTTCGCTCTGTTGTATGGTTGGAATTTGTTTTATACTCTGATGAAATTTTAATTTCCTCACATTTACCATATTGGAGTAATTGAAATTTCTCGTCGTTGAACTTTATATTGTTTTCTGCAGCCCATTAAAAGATTTGGTTGATGTCTGCCTGGAGCCTTCCAATGTCTTCATTGGAAGACACTGTCATGCAGATTTGGGTGTCATCTGCAAAGGAAGGCATGACACTGTGGCTTATATCCCTGTCTGTGTCTGATATGAGGATGAGGAACAAGATGGGAGCGAGTACTGTGCCTTGTGGAACAGGGCTTTTCATCGTAGCCACCTCAGACTGTACACTGTTGACTACTACTCTTTGTGCTCTATTTGTCAGTAAGTTATAGATCCATCTACCAACTTTTCCTGTTATTCCTTTATCACGCGTTTTGTGCACTATTACACCATGGTCACACTTGTCGAAGGCTTTTGCAAAGTCTGTGTATATTACATCTGCATTCTTTTTGTCTAATGGTGCATCCAGGACCTTGTCATAGTGATCCAGTAGTTGGAACAGACAGGAGCAACCTGCTCTAAACCCATGCTGCCCTGGGTTGTGTAGTTGATGGGTATCTAGATGGGTGGCGATCTTGCTTCTTAGGACCCTTTCAAAGATTTTTATGATGTGGGATGTTAGTGCTATCGGTCTGTAGTTCTTTGCTATTGCTTAACTACCCCCTTTGTGGATTGGGGCTATGTCTTGCTTTTAGTAACTGTGGGACGACCCCCGTGTCCATGCTCCCTCTCCATAGGATGTTAAAAGCATGTGATAGGGGCTTCTTGCAGTTCTTGATGAACACGGAGTTCCATGAGTCTGGCCCTGGGGCAGAGTATATGGGCATGTCATTTATCAACTGTTCGAAGTCATTTGGCGTCGGGATAATGTCAGATAGTCTTGTGTTTACCAAATTTTGTGGCTCTCTCATAAAAAGTTCATTTTGATCTTCGACTCTCAGTCTGGTTAGTGGCTTGCTAAAAACAATCATATTGAAACTTGATTAGCTCACTCATTTCCTTGCTGTCATCTGTGTAGGACCCATCTTGTTTAAGTAGGGGCCCAATACTGGATGTTGTTCTCGACTTTGATTTGGCATAAGAAAAGAAATTCTCTGGGTTTCTTTCGATTTCATTTCTGGCTTTTAGTTCTTTCCGTGATTCCTGACTCCTATAAGATTCCTTAAGCTTTAGTTCTATGTTTGCTATTTCTCTGACCAGTGTCTCCCTACGCATTGCAGATATATTGGTCTCTTTTAGTCGCTCTGTTATTCTTTGCCTTCACCTGTAAAGGGAGCGTCTGTCTCTTTCTATTTTGCATCTACTCGTCCTTTTTCTTAAAGGAATATGCCTTTAGCATACATTGAGTGCCACAGAGTTAATCTGTTCTAGGCATAAGTTGGGGTCTGTGTTGCTTAGGCTATCTTCCCAGCTTATATCATTTAGGACTTGGTTTACTTGGTGCTACTTTATGTTCTTGAAGTTGAATTTGGTGAAGGCTCCCTCGTGACTGATCACGTTTTGTCGGTCTGGGGCTCTGCGCATACATGTCTGAACCTTGATTATGTTGTGATCTAAGTATACTGTTTTTGATATGGTGACATTTCGTATGAGATCATCATTGTTAGTGAAGATCAGGTCCAGTGTATTCTCCAGTCTAGTAGACTCTATTATTTGCTGGTTTAAGGTGAATTTTGTGCAGAGATTTAAAAGCTTGTGTGTGTGTGTGAGTTCTCATCTGAGCTGCCTCCTGGTGTTATAACTGCAACAACATTATTTGCTATATTCCTCCACTTTAGGTGCCTTAAGTTTTCTTTTGGAGTGGTTGGTGCAATTATTTAATAAATGTATGGAAGAGGGTAAAGTACCTAGGGATTGGCAGAGAGCATGCATAGTTCCTTTGTATAAAGGCAAAGGGGATAAAAGAGAGTGCAAAAATTATAGGGGGATAAGTCTGCTGAGTATACCTGGTAAAGTGTATGGTAGAGTTATTATTGAAAGAATTAAGAGTAAGATGGAGAATAGGATAGCAGATGAACAAGGAGGCTTTAGGAAAGGTAGGGGGTGTGTGGACCAGGTGTTTACAGTGAAACATATAAGTGAACAGTATTTAGATAAGGCTAAAGAGGTCTTTGTGGCATTTATGGATTTGGAAAAGGCATATGACAGGGTGGATAGGGGGGCAATGTGGCAGATGTTGCAAGTGTATGGTGTAGGAGGTAGGTTACTGAAAGCAGTGAAGAGTTTTTACGAGGATAGTGAGGCTCAAGTTAGAGTATGTAGGAAAGAGGGAAATTATTTCCCAGTAAAAGTAGGCCTTAGACAAGGATGTGTGATGTCACCGTGGTTGTTTAATATATTTATAGATGGGGTTGTAAGAGAAGTAAATGCGAGGGTCTTGGCAAGAGGCGTGGAGTTAAAAGATAAAGAATCACACACAAAGTGGGAGTTGTCACAGCTGCTCTTTGCTGATGACACTGTGCTCTTGGGAGATTCTGAAGAGAAGTTGCAGAGATTGGTGGATGAATTTGGTAGGGTGTGCAAAAGAAGAAAATTAAAGGTGAATACAGGAAAGAGTAAGGTTATGAGGATAACAAAAAGATTAGGTGATGAAAGATTGAATATCAGATTGGAGAGAGAGAGTATGGAGGAGGTGAATGTATTCAGATATTTGGGAGTGGACGTGTCAGCGGATGGGTCTATGAAAGATGAGGTGAATCATAGAATTGATGAGGGGAAAAGAGTGAGTGGTGCACTTAGGAGTCTGTGGAGACAGAGAACTTTGTCCTTGGAGGCAAAGAGGGGAATGTATGAGAGTATAGTTTTACCAACGCTCTTATATGGGTGTGAAGCATGGGTGATGAATGTTGCAGCGATGAGAAGGCTGGAGGCAGTGGAGATGTCATGTCTGAGAGCAATGTGTGGTGTGAATATAATGCAGAGAATTCGTAGTTTGGAAGTTAGGAGGAGGTGCGGGATTACCAAAACTGTTGTCCAAAGGGCTGAGGAAGGGTTGTTGAGGTGGTTCGGACATGTAGAGAGAATGGAGCGAAACAGAATGACTTCAAGAGTGTATCAGTCTGTAGTGGAAGGAAGGCGGGGTAGGGGTCGGCCTAGGAAAGGTTGGAGAGAGGGGGTAAAGGAGGTTTTGTGTGCGAGGGGCTTGGACTTCAGCAGGCATGCGTG